TATCTGAAAGAAGACCTTGAGATGTAAGAACGAAAATTTTCAGTTCAGATTTGATTAGATCCTCAAGTACATTTTGAAGATAGGCTCCACCTCTAGGCCTATAGATTAACCATTCGCCCTTGCATTATTTATCTTTGCCATATATGGTCTGGGGGCACCTTCTGTTTACCTTTTAATTTCTTGACAAGATCCAGAGACGGATATGTAATATAATTGTCCCTGATCTGGCATCTCGTCTACAGTCAAAGATCTCACAGATGCGCAGTCGCCTTCTGTTTTTTCTACAAATACTTTCATGGTAGTTGTGATGAAATGCTTTCAAACGTTCCCAGACTCCATGAATTCAAATTAGAACGAGGCTGGCATCCAACAAAACCTTAAACTGTTTAAAACTTTTGAATGTAGCCGTCTTTCTTCCAATAGATTCAACCAACGTTTACCTCTCGCCCATATTTTTGACCCTTCCCAATTACTTAATCCCTGAGAGCTATAATCTCGAACTATTCAAATGTAACGTCAATCGACATCTCCAGTTACCTTGATTATCCAATCCTTCTCCTCATCCTTTCTTCATCAAAAAAAAATCTGCTCTTGCTCCAAATCTTCTGCAACCCCTGCATCCTAGTGGCTTTTATCTTGCTCGGGGCGTAATGTTTAAAAAAAAAAAAAAACAATCGAATGGTTCATCTGAGTTTTTCAGTGAAAAACAAGAGACGATTTCAAATTAGAATGAAAGCAGGGATTCTGTCATGTATTTATTGATGAAAATTTGAAGCAATGTACGTCCAAATATAGATTTTTGATGGTCGTCTGCATTGATACAGAGAGAATCTAGGAAAAAGTTTTTCTTTTTGTTTTTGTTTCATTTCGTGATTCGAGAAGGAAGAATAATCAGTTCAAAAATTCGTCCAGAAATACCCAACCTTTCAACTTGTGAAGAAGACCAATATGCGAAACTATGTCAAATGTCAAATGAAAAAAGCAACAACCGGAAAGAATTTATCATTTTATCTAACGTCTGATAAACTATTTATATAATAAACGTTATTACATCAAATATTTGACAACAGAGAAACGAAATTTTTGGTATTGATACTTGAATTTGAACGAAAGCCCTGCAATTTGATATTCTCAACCAATTTAGCATAAATCAGGACCTCTAGCAGTTTACCAAAAATTGGTAGAAGGTCGATAGTTGGAAGGTTCGGACTGTTAACCTGATTTCTTAAAGGCCGGAAAATAGATGAGGATTTCTAGTAAGGGAGGAATGAATTATAATTATATGACGAAATTTGAAATTCATTTGAGCACATTTCTGACGGACTATTACAGGGATACCATCAGGTTCACATGCTTTGTGCGGGTCCAGATTAGAGATGGCCACAGAAACCATGGAAGGGGTTATATGCATATCACTCAACAGAGTCTCAGTTCCAAGTGGGAAGTCAGGCAAGGATTCTCTAGATGGCTCAAGAGAAGAGTTTAAAATGAATTCACAGGAGAAGTATTCTGTTTTATCAACAGAAGATGTTAAGACTTCAAATTGATTGAAGAGAGGAGGAATAGAAAACTTGCACTTATTTAATACACTATTACACAGCCGCCAAACAAAATCACGAGAGTCAAACATGTTAGAAAAGCGTCATACAAACCTCATTCTCTCAGCAAACAGACTTACAGTCAACGACGAAATTATTCGTACACCCATCAATTTTTGATTATTTTTATCCATTTTCATAATCTAATATCCGTATTGTGCCAAAAAAAAAAGTTATGAAAGTTCCTTTAAAATGGAATATAAAAAAAGAATTTTCAGAACAACAGGTTAAATTTCAATAAATTTGATAGGCAAAATTATACAAATATTATTTATTTTTATTCCTTCTTTATATTTTTCAAATATTTAATAACAAATGATTTGTTTATAATAAATATATATTAAACAAATATTTACCTGCCTGAATCAATGAGAAATTTATTATTTATTATAAACAGAGCATTTATTAAATATTTGTATCTATAAAATAACGTATAAACATAAAAATATCTTAAAATAATTGTCGGACTTTGTCCATTTCAAAATTGTGACGTCATTTGTTTACATTTGGATACGCATCGACATATAGGAAATTGAATGAATGAGAGAAAAAAAATTTGGATCTTGTGTTTAAAAACAGTTTATATCGACATAACTAACGGAACGCTTCTGTGGCCCAATCGGTAAAAGCACGTTAATTTATATGATATTTCCGTATCATTTAGGTTCGATTTAACTGTCGGAGGACGCTTATTTTTTATAGCAATTTTAATTTTTTCTCATTCATATTTTAAATAAATTTAATCCTGTTTATTATAAACAGAGCATTTACTTAAATATTTGTATTTATAAAAAAAATATATAAACATAAAATTTCTTAAAATACATTCATATATATATATATATATATATATATATATATATATATATATATTTATATATATTCAATGACTGAAAATCATATTCAGCAAACACACACACACATCTATATATATATTTATTTATTATGAAATGCACAAAAATGAAAATTATTTTAATTCGATTTTTATATTTATACATTCTTTTATAGATAAAATATTTAAGTAAATGATGTTGATAATAATATTTCCGAATATCTTCTCTGGCCAAATCGGTTAAATACCACGTTTAACTAAATGATGGTTCCTTTATTTTTCTATACAGGTTCGAATCTTTGTTTAAAAAAACGTATATTTTCTGTGAAAATTTCTCTACATTCAATATGGTAAATGTTGTTAATTTCAATTTTTATTATAAACAGAGCATTTAAAAAGTGTATAATTGTATTTTATCCTTTATGACATTTTTCATAAAAATGTTTTAAAGTAATAATTTTATGTTCATTAAATTTTTATGTCATAGCTTATCTGTTGTACGTTACTTGAATAGTATAAATATATATTTTTTTGTTTTGAAAAATTGATTATGATACTATGACTTTTTTATTATTTTAAAATTTAATAAGATTGATTCTTGCAATGAATCAATAAATTAGCTAAACCCTATAAAATAGTAATTTTATCCACCAATTTTTATACTTATCCCCCCATTTTCGGCCTTGTTCATAAATTGTATTTTATACATTAAATCTTGCAAAGAACATCAATCAATATGGTATTTTGGAATTTACCATTGTTATTCTTTTCATAACAACACGATGGGAAAAAACAAATGGAGATTAAATTGATTGAGACAGAATTATTAACTTCAAACAATCGTCAAATTTTCTTTGAGCATATTTCAAACCGGTTAGCTATCCTATATTTCTATAATAGAGTTCGTTAAAAAAAAGTTTAAACAGTTTGGCAAAAACAACAGAGAATTTGCCAAGCGTGAAAAAAAAATCAATTTTCAATAAGGATCACGAAAACTGTGTCGTTAGGTTAATTATATAAACCCAATGTGTTGTTTTTAAAGACACCGACAAAAAGTTTGATAGATGGATGTTATTATGGTCCGGTTCCTTGTACCACGGTTATAGTCCAAGGTAGAACCAATAAAGAAGAACTCGAACACGTATATGGAATAACACAGATATATTACAAACAGGAATATATACAGAGAAGTAGAAAGTGTAGTACGAACAATCAGGTTTAGTAGTAATTGTCTGAACGCGACTTTGTTTCGGACTGCCTCTGACTCGACTGACTGACTGAAAGACTTCTGACGGTCTTCACTCTAGACTTCAGACTGAACAGTATTTAGTCACCCCCCCACGAGGGCATCATATGGCACAAGGCCGGTTTAACGGGAGATCTCCGAGCCCGTGGGCTCGGCCAAAAATATGCCCTTTGAACCCGTATAAATGGGTTCAAGGTCGGTTTTACCTCCCCGAAAGAGACTCCGCCCTTCAGCGTAGACTCGTTCGGGTTTCTCCCCGCTCGAAGGCAGAGAGTTCAACCGATCAGCCGATCAGCCGGTCGCCCGACTTCTGACTGAACTCCCTGCTTCCTCTTGAGGCGCAGTATTTATTACGTATGGAATTGTCCATTATGTTATTATAGAAATGGGTTGTAGCGAAACCGATCACGATGAACCCCTCTTCACAAACCATATCACATTGTTGCTCGGTTTAATTTTGCTAAAACGTTCTTGGACAAAGAAAATTGCTTTTGTGATGAAACAAATATTATGTTTTTAGACATAATGATGTACAGAAGATTTGGCGCAAGAACGGCGAGTCTTTCCTCCAAAAAAAAAAACAAAAAAAACACAGGGGCAACATTAAAACATACAGGTGTCTCGATGATGTTTTGGGGTTGTTTTATCTCAAGGAGGATTGGGAAATTAAATGCAATAAGAGGAATAATGAAATCTGCAGGCTATATAAAAATTCTGGATGAAAATTTACAACTATCAGCGCAAAATCTTCATCTTGGTCAGCAATTTACTTTCCAGCAAGATAATGATCCAAACATACGTCTAAAGCATTGACTGACTGGCTTCAGAAAAAGAAGATTACAATTCCGGCATGGCCTTCAATGAGTCCCGACTTGAATCCTAGTGAAAATCTATGGCAAGAATTGAAAGTTCGAATAAATCGTCGGTCACCAAAAAAACCTTCAGGAATTAAAACGTGTAACCATTGAAGAATGGAAGAAAATCCCAGAAAAGTCTTGTTCAAATATCATCAAAAACTTGAGAAAACGACTGCAGCACGTTATAAATATGGGAGGCCATTCTACTGACTATTAATGTTATGAAAATTGTTTAATTTTATTTAAATTTCATCCTGTACGAATAATTTTATTTTTTCCTATTTTGTATAATTCGCTGGACAAATTTGTATTTAAACTATTATTCTGAAAATTGAGTTTTATATATATTTTTTTTTTTTTTGCTTATTGACATACAAAAACCTGGCATCATATGGGCATTAGATTTGGAGAAATGGATAAAAATAATCAAAATTGATGACTGTACGAATAATTTTATCGTTGACTAGAGCTCCTTCGAAGACTTTTATTACACTCTTCACTCTTCTTTTTTCTTTCTTTCTTTCTTTCTTTCTTTCTTTCTTTTCCATTATTTCACTATTGCTTTTCACACATTTTTGCTTTCTTTCTTTCTTTCCTTCTTTCTTTCTTTCTTTCTTTCTAATTATTTTTCTATTGTTCTCTACTCTTTGTTTCTTTTCAATTATTTCTCATTTGCTCTTCACTCTTTCTTTTCCATTATTTTTCCTATTCCTCTTCACCCTTTATTAAAAAATAAATTTTTGTTTGTTTGTTTATTTCTTCCTTTCTTTTCTATTATTTTACTATCGCTCTTTACTTTTCTTTGTTTTCCCCCATTATTTCTCTATTTCTCTTCACTCTTTCTTTTTTTCTTTCTTTCTTTTCTATCATTTCACTGTTGCTCTTTACACTTTGTTTGTTTGTTTGTTTGTTTGTTTCTTTCTTTCTTTTCCATTATATCTCTATTGCTCTTCACCCCTTCTTTCTTTCTTTCTTTTCTATCCTTTCACGGTTTAAGATTTACGCTTTCTTCTTTCTTTCTTTTCTTTCTTTCTTTCTTTCCTTCTTTCTTTCTTTCTTTTTCTTTTCATTATATCTCTATTGCTCTTCACCTTCTTTCTTTCTTTCTTTTCTATCCTTTCACGGTTGCTCTTTACGCTTTCTTTCTTTCTTTCTTTCTTTCTTTCTTTCTTTCTTTCTTTCTTTCTTTCTTTCTTTCTTTTCCATTATATCTCTATTGCTCTTCACCCCTTCTTTCTTTCTTTCTTTTCTATCCTTTCACGGTTGCTCTTTACGCTTTCATTCTTTCTTTCTTTCTTTCTTTCTTTCTTTCTTTCTTTCTTTCTTTTCCATTATATCTCGATTGCTCTTCACCCTTTCTTTTTTTCTTTTTGTAATTATATAATTTATGACTTATTTTTATTTTTTCGTTCATTTGTTATTACCCTTTATTCTTTCGTATTTTTTGTTTCTTTCTCACCAGTTGTTTCCTTATCTTCTTTCTTTCTTTCTTTCTTTTTTTCTTTCTTTCTTATCAATTATTTCCTCACTTCTTTCTTTCTTTCTTTCTTTCTTTCTTTCTTTCTTTCTTTCTTTCTTTCTTTCTTTTCAATTATTTCTCCATACCATTTCTTTCTTTCTTTCTTTCTTTCTTTCTTTCTTTCTTTCTTTTCAATTATTTCTCCATACCATTTCTTTCTTTCTTTCTTTATTTCTTTCTTTAGCGTTTCCTTCATTTGGAAATCATCCGAATCTCCCGCCAAATGTTCCTAGCAGAGGGACAATCGCAAACCAGCCGAGGATGTGACTACAGGATGTTGATTTAATGAATCTAGTAAATTACTGGGCGGAGAGACGCCGAGGCTTTCCTAGGCGACATATCAGAATGGATGATAAGAGTAATGAATAAAAGCGAGAAAAGGTTGAAGATATAAAGTGAGAAAGAGGAAGACGGAGAAAAAGGGCAGGGGAGGAGGAAAAATGGGTCAGGAAAAATCGGACAAAGACTGGCAGACGAGAAAGAAGATAATAATGTAAGATGGAAGACGATGTATATCAAATAAACGTATTGAACAAAATGGACAGATAAAGAATTACGTCGAAATGCGGGAATTTAAAGAAAAAAAAATGACTGAACAAAGAAAGAGTAAAATAAATACAATAAATGAACATTATAAGTCCAAAGCGTTCTTAACATTTTTCAAGCTTTTTACGACTCTGAGATTTCAAAATATTTCTCACGTTCCGTCGAGATTTCAAAATATTTCTCACGTTCCGTCGAGATTTCAAAATATTTTTCGTAACACTTTTCGAGATTTCGAAATTCTTTTACGCATCCCCTCGAGATTTTGAAAATCTTCCGATGCTTTACTCGCATCAGTTTCAACAACTTTGCAGATTTCAAAATCTTTCTGTCTGAATTTCTTGGATGAGGAGTCATCAATTTTAACACTATTTATATTCGCTCCATTATCCACATATTTCTTGTTTTTATCACAGAATTTCGGCCGTTGTGCTCCCGGCCTTCCTCGAGTGTATATCAATCTGGTTAACAGCGGTTACACTGTTCTCATTCCCCTACTCATGTCTATGAATATCGTCTATTTGTATGTGAGTTCAATCCCTGGTCCGGGCAGTGTGTACTTGAAGTTAGTAGAAATGGGCGGGCAATAACTAAACAGAACTAGAATAAAAATAAAAACCACTGATCATGTCTAGGGTTAACGTCTAGATATTATGTTAAATACTTCTCAGTTATTGCTTGCCTGTTTCCACTGAGTTCAAGTACACATTGCCCGATCCAGGGACTGAACTCGCAATCATTATGACAACAAATTCACAAACCAACGCTTTAATTCGCCAAGAACTTGAACCCTAAAATCTAACCTATCTGCTGATTAGGTTGCAACTGCTGCTGCCTGCCATGTTTTTATTGGTGCAGTTGCAACACCAATTAGCAGGCATGAACAGTGGAACGAGAAAATCTACTCCCGTAGATTAAATAAAGTGTTCAGTTCAGAATTCCCTGGAGGCTACCCAGATAAATATACAACTGAGAAGGCCAGAGGGTTCAACGGCCGAAACATTGAGATAACAAGAAAGTTGAAGACGATGGTCCGAATATAGATACTGTTCAAAATATTTCCCGTTCACCTTCGAGATTTGAAAATGTTTCTCGCATTCGTTTTGAGATTTGAAAATATTCTTCGCATTCGTTCGAGATTTGAAAATGTTTCCTACATTCGTTCGAGATTTGAAAATGTTTCCTACATTCGTTCGAGATTTGAAAATGTTCTTCGCATTCGTTCGAGATTTGAAAATGTTTCCTGCATTCGTTCGAGATTTGAAAATGTTTCTCGCATTCGTTCGAGATTTGAAAATGTTCTTCGCATTCGTTCGAGATTTGAAAATGTTTCTCGCATTCGTTCGGGATTTGAAAATATTCTTCGCATTTGTTCGAGATTTGAAAATGTTTCTCGCATTGGTTCGAGATTTGAAAATATTCTCCGCATTCGTTCGAGATTTGAAAATCTTTCCTGTATTCGTTCGAGATTTGAAAATGTTCTTCGCATTCGTTCGAGATTTGAAAATATTCTTCGCATTCGTTCGAGATTTGAAAATATTCTCCGCATTCGTTCAAGATTTGAAAATGTTTCCTGTATTCGTTCGAGATTTGAAAATATTCTTCGCATTCGTTCGAGATTTGAAAATGTTTCCTGTATTCGTTCGAGATTTGAAAATGTTTCTCGCATTTGTTTGAGATTTGAAAATCTTCCTCGCATTCTTTCGACATTTGAAAATGTTTCTCGCATTTATTCTAGATTTGAAAATGTTCTTCGCATTCGTTCGAGATTTGGAAATGTTTCCTACATTCGTTCGAGATTTGAAAATGTTTCTCGCATTCGTTCGAGATTTGAAAATATTCTCCGCATTCGTTCGAGATTTGAAAATGTTTCCTGTATTCGTTCGAGATTTGAAAATGTTCTTCGCATTCGTTCGAGATTTGAAAATGTTTCCTACATTCGTTCGAGATTTGAAAATGTTTCTCGCATTCGTTCGAGATTTGAAAATGTTTCTCGCATTGGTTCGAGATTTGAAAATATTCTTCGCATTCGTTCGAGATTTGAAAATGTTTCCTACATTTGTTCGAGATTTGAAAATGTTCTTCGCATTCGTTTGAGATTTGAAAATGTTTCTCGCATTCGTTCGAGATTTCAAAAACGCGTTTTTCCTATTAAAAAAAAGCTAACAGATCTTAATTATATACTTTATAATTATAACCCAGTATTAATTATATGTTTATAAAAAAAAATCGGTATTAATTATAAGTTTATAAAAGTCTGGTATTATAGGTTTCTGTCTATTTCGAAATAATGACCAACATAGTTTTTTAGGTGGTGGGGGGGTGTTGTGGTGATGGTAGTGTAGACATTAATGAATTAATTATTTGCTTTTTTAAAAAAATTCTTTTTTTAATTTTTACGTATTTCAGATCTATTTTTATCAAATTTCTTTTGCTTACTTGAAAATTTTTCCTATTTGAATTTTCTGATGAATCTTAATTCTTAAGTTAATGATTGAAAAAGCTCATGACGATTTTTACGGCAATAAAATATCCGTAGAAATCACGTTATCACGTCATTCAATATTTGAGTTTAAAAACTTTAACGAAATATTGCAATAACAATCGTAAATTTGAAAACTAGCCGTTATTTAAAGAAGTAAGGGGGTACAAATGAACAGAGTTGAAAGTGACAAATTTTTCATTTCACTGAAACAGTCGTTGAACACTTCTAACTTCCGTTCATTTTTTATTTTATTTTTCTCACTGAAACGTATTTGATATGTGTTTTCCGTCTTTTCAGGTGATCCAAACGGAATAGTCTATTATTTATGAGATATTGGCTGCAGACTTTAAGCAATTCTATTTTTCCCCCTTTTTTTCTTTTTTCTTTGCTCTCTCATTGAAACCAAGTAGCGCCTACGATTTGTTTTTTTCCATTTTTCCAGGTGATCAAAACGGAATAGTTCATTATTTATGAGGTATTACCAGCAGGCGTTAAACACTCCGAGTTTACCCCCTTATTCATAACATTAGAACCAGGGAGGGGCCCCTACTTAGATTACATCACTAAAGGATCTCCAAAATTAAACTACATTCGCTCTCAGATTATACCAAAACACCAACAAGATCAAATTAGAAAAAAGACAATATTTCGCCAAGAATGTTTACATCTTGTTTATAAGACGCCATCATCAAAAAAGACAACTGAGAGAACAAGGGTATGAACATGGTGAACACCTCTGTCACGTAGACTTCGCAGATGACATCATCCTACAAGTATATGATCAATGCTATCCTTACTGCAAAAGAAAAAGACGAGGAAAGAAGGGGGTAAATGAAAAGAGACGTCAAAGAAAAGAAGAAAAAACAGGAAGAAAGGACGACGAGATTTAAAACGAGGTGGAAAAGAACAAGAAAAAGACGAGAAAAGAATAGAATCAATGCACAGAGACGTAAGAGAAATGATCAATGCTATCCTTACTGCAATAGAAAAAGAAGAAAGAAGGGAATAAATGAAAAGAGACGTGAAAGAAAAGAAGAAAATACAGGAAGAAAGGACGACGAGAGTTAAAACGAGATGGAAAAGAAGAAGAAAAAGACGAGAAAAGAAGATAATCAATGCAAAGAGACGTAAGAGAAATGATCAATGCTATCCTTACTGCGAAACAACGAGTCAACCTTAACACGCATCTTGGGAAACCAAGGTCAGGTTTAACAGCCATGCTAGACCATCATCATCTACTGTAAATAGAAAGACCATTCAAGGAAACAGACGGTTATGTGTAGCTCGGAAAGAAAAGTGCAAGAGAAGCTGCCTTACATTCGGAGGTCAAAGGATAATAGCTGGAGTGTACCTGTTCAAAATATTGTCTGATAATAACGTCTATAACAACTGTAGATTGATGTCCTCAGTACGCAGTGATTAAACCATCTAAAATTGCTTAAGGCTACCTGCTCATAAGTTGGGCTAAATGTTGTTCATGATGACGGTCGTCTTTGAGTATAGAATCCAGAGGTTAGCAGTGAATATTTCGAAGACAGTAGGGAAGCGTAGTTCAGGTTAGCAGTGGATATCCAGGTAAAGTAGCAGAGCGTAGTTCAGTAGTTCTTCCTTCTGTTCCTCTTCGCCTGACAAGTTGGTACTGGACATTCGGAGAGAGTAAACAAAATGGCCGTCTTTATACACGACAGATTGAATATTCTACGTCTTCTGATTGGTTAACCCTTCTCTTGGTGGACTATAAAATGAGTCAAGTCATTTTGACTGGCTTACTAGTACATATATATACACAAAAAACTGCAACACTAAAATCACCTGATAGTGAAACAGTGACGATGAATTTATGCTACACAATTTATATCGAATGTTTACAAGATACCATCGTCATATTATCAACTAGGATAACATCAACATGGTGAACACCTCTGCCATCTTGACAGAAATACCGTATAAGTAAAATAATATGAATTAATCCATCTTTTAATCGTAATGTTCGAACGAATATCGGAATTTAATTCATAAGAACTTTAACCATTCACTAACACTAAAAAAAGAATCTTAAAAAAAATAATGATAAGATAAGCTGTAGCTGCGTTAGTAAGATCGATTAATCTATATTTCAGCATAACAATGTTGTATTAAACAGATATATGTCCAACATCGACAACAATGAGTTAATTCTTTTAAAAAAATGAAACTTCCAAAAAATATGATCTGTCCCTTAAACGGTCAATATATGACTGATAATATTGTATACCAAGCAAGCATACATTCCGGGAATTATATAGTTTTATTTTGGTTTCACTGAAAATGCTTGGTAATTTCTTTTCTACCATTATTGAATGAATTAAGGCAATATAAAATACATAAACAGCACCGTTTTCTCAAAACATTTCTGGCAATTAAAGAATGGTGGCAATAAACCCATTATTACGTGGGATAGTGTAGCAAGAGTCAATTCTTACAGTGGGAAAGGCGATAGATGTAATTCATGTCTTGTTGAAAAATTAGTTATCTTAAAATGTTTAACCCTAACTTATTAAACTAGAGAAATGAATTCATTGCTACATGTAGGCATAAAAATAAATATCTGCTCAAATACGTTGATCTAGATCGATTTTTAATGTAAATTATGGGTTGTTATTTTTAAAGAAAAATATATATATATAGTCATCCACTGACAGACTGTTTAGCTGCATCACAGCTCATCAATGTGGATAGACATTTGATTGCTTCAAGCCGAGATAGAAACCTGACCGATTTGGCATCACTCAGAGATTCTACCCCCAAGCTATCGTCACAGAGCAGAGAGCGGAAGGGAAAATTTAACGTTTTTACTATGCGACATATGTCAGTAGATAGGAGAGCTCGATTCGAGTAGAAGAGCATTGCAGTAGCAGCAGCAGCCACTGTTGATAAAATCACGCCTTCCTCTCCGAGAGCTTAATCGAATTATTTCGAGAGCATAAATAGTCATCCACAGACAGACTGTTTCGCTGTATCACAGCTCATCAGTGTAGCTAGGCATTCCATTGCTTCAGTATATATTCATGAACTTCATCAAGATAAATTAATTTTAAGATTATGGCAAATTTCTCTATGAATAATACTTTTTTAAAAAAAAATTCTCTTGTTCTATACAGAAAAATGTTGAGGTAACCAGTAAAAATGGACATGATTTTCGACTGCGCGCCCCAAAATTAGCCAAGAAAAAGTAGGCTTACATCAAATTAGCCATTAAAAAAGTATAAGTTGGCTTGCAACAAATTCGCCAAGAAAAAGTATATGTTGGCATAAAGAAATTTGCCAAGAAAAGGTATAAGTTGGCTTATAGCAAATTAGCTATGAAAAAGTTTAAGTTGGCTTACAAAAAATTAGCCAAGAAAATGTATATGTTGGGTTACATTAGCTAAAAAAATGTATGTTAGCATATATCAAATTAGCTAAGAAAAAGTTTAAGTTGGCTTACATCAATTTAGCCAAGAAAAAGTATATGTTGGCTTACATTAAATTAGCAAAGAATAAGTGTAAGTTGGCTTACATCAAATTAGCCAAGAAAAAGTTTAAGTTGACTTACGCCAAAACATGAAGAGGTGGTTATTACCATTGATTGGCATGTCTGTATGCAAAAAGTAGTGGTATACTTTCCTGTTGTATTCTTCACAGTTTTGAATTCAGGTTTCTTCTTTAAGGCTGATTCCTGCACAAGAGTGAGTCTATTTTACGCTTCTACTAAACTGTGGGGAGAGGAATCAGATTTAAGACTTTTTTCCAAGGATATTACTCTAAAAAATGTGAACATAACAGATTGGACTAGGATTTGAACTCGGTTCTCCTATCCTGCAACGATATCCGTTTCCCTATTCTCACATTCTGTTGAATATTATTTTCCCCTTTATATTATAATCTGTTCACAATTATCTAGCCCCCCCCCCTATATAAGCGGAACCCTGTCTTATTCGGATGGTAATTAACAGGATTAAATAGTGAAACGAATGTGGTTCCTAAGTTTTTTGGTACATCGCACTAACCTTATTATCTCTTGAAGTCCTGCTCCCGGCCGATATTGATTTAATGTCATAATTGTAAAATAAATAAATAAATAATGAATGAATTAAAAAAAATATCAGGAAAAAACAACAATAAAAACAAACAAACAAAAAACAACACACCAACAACTGACGAGATGAATAAATAAATAGTAAATAGCAAAATAAATCAATCACGTGATCGCCAAAGAAAGACTTGCTCGTACGGAACACGTGACATATAGCACGTGACAAGTAACCAATCAATTTCCAGTGCACTCTTTCAACACGGTGCTCCTTTACAGTTGAGTATTCGGCGCGATGACGTAAAAAGAAACATTTTTTTGCATTTCCAAAAAAAAAAAAATAAAAATAAATAAATAAATAAAAATAAAATAAATAAATAAAAATTGGCATTGAAGTGTTATTTTTAGGAAAGACAACCAGAATTCAAGAAAACAAAACAAAACCAAAAACAAACAAAAAATATAAAGAGAAATTAAAAAGGTCTAAAAATAAATAAAATTTTAAAAATGATAAAATTATTTCTTAAAAAGACAAAAAAAAAAAAGGCTTAGGATGCCAGGAAGATTTAAAAAATAATAAAATAAAGCTAAAAATTAACAGATATGCGAAGAAAGAAAATTAAAACAAAATAAAATCGAAAAGCTTAAGTAAGGAGCAAAAATAATGAAAATGACAGGCAAATTAAAGGGAAGTTTCTTGAAAGTGAAAGTTGAAATCTCTCTTGGGAGAAAGTGAAAGTAAAAGTGAAAGTGAAAGGCTCGATGAAGTTAAAAGGTAAACAAATCAGTGTGAAAAGGATTCAGGTCCAAAGGCATCTATAGAAAATGAATAGCGACAAAAAATCTAGATAAACAGAGTAAAAAAAAAATAACAACATAAAATAACGTTGAGTAATAGAGAAGGAAACTAAAAAGAGAGATAGAGAAAATGGAGTTAGGAATATGGTGCATGAAAGAGAATTAAGGAAAAGAGACAAAGGAGAGATAAGATAAAATACAGATGAAGAAAGAGATGGAAGAAAGACTAGAAACTGTGAAAAGAAAAGAAAAAGAAAAGGACAAGAAATCGAAAAAAAAGAAAGAAAAAAGATGAAAAGAAGGAAAATAATGAAAAAATAATTAGGAAGAAAGTGAAATGGGGACAAGTAAGAGAAAATAGACAAGAAGAAAGAAAATAAAAAAAAGAGAAACAAAGTGTTGAAATGAGGCGGAAAAGAAAAAGACGGGGAAAGAAGGGGGTAAATGAAAAGAGACGTGAAAGAAAAGAAGAAAAAACAGGAAGAAAGAACGACGAGAGTTAAGACGAGGTGGAAAAGAAGAAGAAGAAGAAGAAGAAGAAGAAGAAGAAGAAGACGGGGAAAGAAGAGAATCAATCCACCTGCCTTGTCACATGAAAACGGAAGGAAAAAAGAGGAAGAGAAAACAGCGGGAGGTGGAATGAACCGTGAAAATTAAAAAAAAAAAGCCGGGAAAGGAAGATGTCCAATGAAAATAGATGGGAGAGAAAACAGATGGAAAAAAGGGAGAGAATATGACGTGAGTTGAGGAAGAAAAAAAAAGAAGAAAAAGGCGGGAAAAGAAAGAAATCAATGAAAAGTGACGTGAAAGAAATGAAAAGTGACGTCAAAGAAAAGAGGAAAAAAAAGAAGAGGAGACGACAAAAGTTAAAATGAGGTAGGAAAAAAAGAAGAAAAAGGCGTGAAAAGAAGGAAATAAATAAAAAGAGACGTGCAAGAAAACAAGCAGAAACAGGAAAAGAAGACGACAAGAGTTAAAATGCGGTAGAAAAAAACGAATAGAAAGGCGGAAAAAGAAAGAAATTAATGAAAAGTGACGTCAAAGAAAAGAAGGAAGAAAGAGGAAGAGAAGACGACAAGGATTGAAACGAGGAAGAAAAAAGAAGTTAAAGGTGGGGGTAAAAAAGACTCAATGAAACGAAACATGAAAGAAAAGAAGGAAAGAAAAATGAAGATAACATAACAATGGTTGAAATGAGGCAGAAAAAAACGACAAAAGAGTTGAAACAATGAAAAGAGACGTGAAAGAGAAAAGAAAAAGGAAAAAAGGAATAGAAGACGATAAGAGAAAAGAAAGAGCAAATGATGAGACGAGGAACGAAATAGTGTAGCAGAAAGGAAGGAAGGGAAGAAGAAAAAAAGAAAGAAAAGAAACATAATTAAAGAGAAAATAATAAAGTAAAAGAAGGATGAGTAAAAGAAAAAAAGAAAGCAAAGAAAATATTGTGAAGGAGGAAAAAAGAATAAGTGATAAAGAACGAAGCAAAGACGGGAAGTGACAAGAGAAAAGAAAGAAAAAAGAAAGAAAGAATGAACGATAGGAGAGAAGAGAGAAAAAAGAAGTATGAAAAAGAGGAAACGGAAAAAGCAGAAAAGAAACAAGAGAGAAAAAAGAAAAAGATAAAGATTAGTTGAGAGAAGAGGTAAGTAAAAAAAAGGGATAAAGAAAGAAAGAAGGTATGATAAAAAGTAAAAAGAAAAAGAAAAGAAAATAACAGAGATAAAGAAGAAAATATCTTTAAAGACAATTATATGAGAATAGAGGCGATACAAGGAAATGAATGGAAACGAAAGAAAAGCCAGTGCCAAAAAAAAAGAAAAAAGATTAGTTGAGCGAAGAGGCAAGTAAAAAAAAAAGAGGGATAAAGAAAGAAAGAAAGAAAGAAAGAAAGAAAGAAGGTACGATAAAAAGTAAAAAGAAAAGGAGAAAATAACAGAGAGATAAAGAAGAAAATATCTTTAAAGACAATTATATAAGAATTGAGGCGATACAGGGAAATGAATGAAAACGAAAGAAAAGCCAGTGCCAAAAATAAAAAAAAAGAAAAAAGAAAAGAAAAAAGAAAAGAAAAAAGAAAAGAAAAAAAAAGAAAAATATAATCACAGATGGATAATGAGAAATGGAGGCGAAGGAAGAGAACGAGATTATCGAGAGGAAATTGAGAGTCTAGTAGTGTCTATCAGATGAATGATAATACAGGAGAAACGAAGAAATATGAATAAAGGAAATTCGTTAAGGTCGACGATCAGTAAATGCGCATGCGTCTCTGATCTCGTCTCTGACATACAGCAATTGGAAAAAATATCTATCTTCCACTATTGGCAATACTATCCACAACCCTAACACTACTTTTATCGTCATTCCTTAACCCAGGTCCATTCTCTTGTTTCTCGTACACTCCAGAAACCGAAAGAGGAGCTGGCAGAGGGCGCTGTTTAAAACCAGCCAATGGTCGGCTAGCTCGCAAGATAGATGGGACTCCAGGGGGATTGCTTTCCTATGTAACCCGTTATTTGGTTGGTTAGTTGGCTATTGATAAACACCATGCCAAAGTAGGCATCTTGAGTCCATACATCTAAATCCAGTGTGCGGAGCGAAAATTTATAGCGATGTTTTATCCGAGGGACAAAGTGCTTTTTCAAGTCGAGCCTGGTCCGTCCCACCTGCCTTGTGACTTGAATGAGAGATGAGATATAATTGTAAGTGTGGATCTTCGCCTCTCATATCCTACGTCTTCTTCGCTTTTCGCTAACACTGTACGGGACGACGGCAGCTTCCTCCCTCCTTTGGTCTACAGCGGCCGGCTCTATCGATTGTATGATCGATCTCGTATAGTGACAGATTAAAACCCTATACGTCTAATCTGTTTACTTCCTACCCCTTATCCATATCCTTATTTAAAAGAACTCATTTGTCACATTTCATTTCTTTTTCTTTTTCACTTGTTTCCTTCTTTGTTTTATCAGTTTTAGAACTTTCTTTCCTTCTTTCTTTCCTTATTTCTTTCCTTCTTTCTTTCTTTCTTTCAACTTTGTTTCAGTTTTTCTTTCTTCATTTTATATCAGTTTCACTTCTTTCTAAAATTTTTTTCTTTTACGAATTCTCAGTTTCAGTTCTTTCTTTCTTTCTTTTATCAATTCTCAGTTTCAGTTCTTTCTTTCTTTCCTTCTTTCTTTCTTTTATCAATTCTCAGTTTCAGTTCTTTCTTTCTTTCTTTCTTTTTTCTTTCTTTCTTTTATCAATTCTCAGTTTCAGTTCTTTCCTTCTTTCTTTTTTCTTTCTTTCTTTTATCAATTCTCAATTTCAGTTCTTTCTTTCTTTCTTTTTTCTTTCTTTCTTTCTTTTATCAATTCTCAGTTTCAGTTCTTTCTTTCTTTCCTTCCTTCTTTCTTTCTTTCTTTCTTTCTTTTAACAATTCTCAGTTTCAGTTCTTTCTTTTTTTCCTTCCTTCTTTCTTTCTTTCTTTCTTTTATCAATTCTCAGTTTCAGTTCTTTCTTTCTTTCCTTCCTTCTTTCTTTCTTTCTTTCTTTCCTTTATCAATTCTCAGTTTCAGTTCTTTCTTTTTTTCCTTCCTTCTTTCTTTCTTTCTTTCTTTCTTTTATCAATTCTCAGTTTCAGTTCTTTCTTTCTTTCCTTCCTTCTTTCTTTCTTTCTTTCTTTCTTTCTTTTATCAATTCTCAGTTTCAGTTCTTTCTTTCTTTCCTTCCTTCTTTCTTTTTTCTTTCTTTCTTTTATCAATTCTCAGTTTCAGTTCTTTCTTTCTTTTCTTCCTTCTTTCTTTTTTCTTTCTTTCTTTTATCAATTCTCAGTTTCAGTTCTTTCTTTTTTTTCCTTCCTTCTTTCTTTCTTGCTTTCTTTCTTTTATCAATTCTCAGTTTCAGTTCTTTCTTTCTTTCCTTCCTTCTTTCTTTCTTTCTTTCTTTTATCAATTCTCAGTTTCAGTTCTTTCTTTCTTTCCTTCCTTCTTTCTTTCTTTCTTTTATCAATTCTCAGTTTCAGTTCTTTCTTTTTTTCCTTCCTTCTTTCTATCTTTCTTTTATCAATTCTCAGTTTCAGTTCTTTCTTTCTTTCCTTCCTTCTTTCTTTCTTTCTTTCTTTCTTTTATCACTTCTCACCTTCAGTTTTTGCTTTCTTTCTTTCTCTTCTTCCTTTATCAATTCTAAGTTTTTGTTCTTTCTTTCTTTTATCAATTCTTCACTTTCTTTCATTTCAGTTTCAGTTTTTCTTTCTGTTTCTCTTTTTTACGTTATTTCTTTATTTCATATGAGTTTCAGGTTTTCTTTCTTTATTTCTTTCAACTCATTTGTTGATCTTTCTTTTTTCTTTCTTTTATCAGTTCTCAGTTTCTTTCTTTCTTTTATCAATTCTCGGTTTCAGTCCTTTCTTTCTTTTTTTCCTTTCTCTCCTTTCTTTTTTCTTTTATCAATCCTCAGTTTCAGTTCTTTCTTTCTTTTTCTCTTTCTTTCTTTTTCTCTTTCTTTCTTTCTTTTATCATTTCTCAGTTTCGTTTCCTTCTTTCTTTCTTTCTTTTTCTCTTTCTTTCTTTCTTTCTTTCTTTCTTTCTTTCTTTTATCATTTCTCAGTTTCATTTCTTTCTTTCTTTCTTTCTTTCTTTCTTTCTTTCTTTCTTTCTTTCTTTCGTTGAATTCTCTCTTTTCTTTCGTTCTTTCCCTCTGTCATTTATCAGCGTCTTCTCTTCTTATTTCTTTCCTTATATCACAAGCACATATATTTGTTGTTTGGATGCGCACGCATCAACGGTATACGTAGAAGAGGGCGTATGTGAGCCACCTACCGGGCAAATTGTTAAGTAGGGGTACATAATTATGCTCACAAGCAACCGTAGGCCTCCAAAGAATTCGACATTTATAAATAGACACATTTCAAATCCTAAGGATTTGTCAAGCAGACTGAAAATGGAGGAGTGAAAAGATTATAATAATTTTTCACTTGAAATGCATCACCCTCCGATCGCTCTGTCTTTCTCTCTATCCAGCGCTATCTCTTTCTCTCCCTCTCTCTCACTATCTCCCTCTCACATTCTCTCTCACTCTTTAGCTCTGTGTGTTAGATCATGTTTGGTCTATGTATGTATGTATGTATGTATGTATGTATGTATGTATGTATGTATTTTCACTGATATGGCCGAGTGGTTAGAACGTTGGCTTTCTGACCATGTGATCCGCGTTCGAATCTCACCATGGCCGATTTGTCAGGCAGGCAAAATCTATCCCAACGTGCGGCAGCTGAAAACCATGCCACGGGTTGACCCAGACCTTGTGAGTGAAATTGGGTAGAATGAACTGTTGTGGGCCGTCGATAAGGTGTGCTAGAGCGAAGCCATAAGTCGTCGAGGGCTTGACCGTGCTGGCCTTGTTCAAACCGCTGATTACGCTAGATAACACGTTTATCTCCCAGAAACGGTAATTCAGTTCTGCTCACCATAGTCGCCTTATAAACCACAGGTGGGCTCTGTGGGTGTTGAGCAAACACAAATGTTCCTGAGCAAGCGTCTGCAATAGGGGTTGGCTAACCGCCCTAGTAGACGCATATCCTCGAAAACGAGTGGCCAGCTATTATTTTTATTGTTAAGCATACTTTAAAATTTCTTTTACCCTGTACAAGGCTCAAGAACCAATCGAGGTAGAGGGTTATAGTGTAAGAAGCATAGTTTATGGAGATATATGAGGATGATGATCCCGCGGCAAGCAACAACGTTATTCGAGTAGGCCTGGGTACCCTACTTCTGTAATTTATCCCAAGAATCTTCTTCTCATAACAGGAAGAAGCCGGCTCAATCCGCCCAGGGTGAATGCCGCATCAGTACAGTAGTACAGTATGATGACGGTTGGCCCACCCAAAGGCCTCAGCATAACTTAATCGAACCTATGTGGAGAGAGTTGGAAACTTGGGTTATAACAAAAAGCCAAAGAATGTGTAAAAATGTTATTGTTGTTTTTATTTGGGGGGTATGTTTTTATTTGGGGGGTATGATATTTATTTTTGGGGTATGTTTTTTACTATAATATTCATCCTGTACACGTTCCAAGAGCCACTCGAGGTAGAGGGACACAGAATAAGAGTCACATCATATGGTGATATGTGAGGTCAACCAGGTTAAGATCGTAATGATTGAGAAAGCATCGTCTTGAGAGTCGTTTCTCACAAGTACAATTCGAAGGGAATGAGGGTGGTTCACTACAACGGGCGTGGCAAGGTAGGTCTTACCTGTGGGAGTTAGAAGTAAAGAATTCATTTCTTCTGAGCATTTTCCATCATTATGGTAATGGTGATATTAAAAGTTTCCATGCAGGAAATATTGGGCATTCATTGATCGAATTATCATTAGTGTACGTTGAAATATTTGAGATTTATTGACCGAATAGTTAATAAAATCAATGATATTCTCCATATATAAGCTCCAGAGTTTGGGCACCTCGATGTGGTGTAATGGTTAGAAAGCTTGTCTTGTGAGATGCATTCATATCTTTCACAAGGTTCGAACTGAACTGCATAAAGAACGCTGTAGTCTTCTTCAGGTGGTTGGAATGTCGAACTGAACCCTTTATTTCGCTCACTGGGGTAGACTGTTCTAGTTCCATGTGCCATGTTTAATGGATGTCAGTTATCCATAAATGGTGGATAAAGGCGTTGGTTAGATCCAGTGACAGGACCCAAAGCGTGTGAGTTCAATACCCGTTAAGGCAGTGGAGAACTTGGAGAGGGGAATTAACAGGAGATAACTGATAACTGAAATCCATTAAACATGGCACGTGGAACTAGAACAATCTACCCCAGTGAGCGAAATAAAGGGTTAGTTCGACATTCCAATCACCTGAAGAATGCCGGAGCGTACAACGGCCGAAACGTTGTAATAAGTATGGCGACAAAGATGAGGATAATAGTCCGAATAATGTAAATAGTCTAATCGAATTGAAATTTGTATTACAGATAGTTCAATAATTCTTCTACATGTTTGATGAGGAATTTATCACATTAAAAACCACAAAGAAAATTTCAAAACCACCCCAGCATGCAGACTCATAAACCCAACCAGAAGTGAACTAGGTAAAATATGTAAAAGGATACTAGAAAGAATTAATTCAGAGCTAAGGAAGAAGTTAAGAGTAAATTAGTGGAAAAACACAAAAATAAATAGAGACTGGTTCAGCAACCTGAAAATACAAAACCAATATAATTGCCCATTTATACAACTAGATATAAAAGAATCCTACTCGACTATAGCAGAAACCATGCTAAATAAGGCCATCAGCTTAGCTCAAGAACAAATAGAAATAAACACAAACGAAATCATAATCATTGACACTACATTGGGAAGCTTTAATGGCGCAGAGACCTGTGAACTCTTATATTTACTACACAAAGTAAAATAATAGATAGAGATGATACAGGACTCTACAGGGATGACGGTCTCATAATCTTAAGAAATTATAACAAACAAAACACAGACAAAACTAGAAACGCAATAATAAAGATTTTAAAAAAATATGGGATTTGACATAGACATAAAAACTAACCTAAACGAAGTAGATTTTCTAGATGTCACCTTCAGTCTAAGAATAGGTGCTTAGAAACCATACAGGAAACCAATTGATAGACCACTGTATATACGTAAATCTTCCAATCACCCGCCATCTATAATCAAGCAGATACCTAAATCAACTAATCGCAGGCTTTCCGAGAATTCTTCCAATGAAATCATATTCTCCGAAGCTAAGAAAGACTATGAAATAACCCTAAGAGATATTGTATTCCCGGCAACACTCACATACACATCAGAGAGAAAAAAAAAAAAAAAAAACCAACAAGAACAGGAAGCGAAACATCATATGGTTCAATCTACCGTACAACAAAAACGTATAACAAACGTAGGAAAAATATTCAACAAACACTTCATCGAATCAAGCACTCTTCACAAAATATTCAACAAAAACACGATAAAAATGAGCTACAGTTACACTGAATACCTGACACAAATAATAAAAAAGCACAACAGGAAAACTATCAGCAAACCAGCTGAACAAATTAAACCCACGTGTAACTCCAGAATAAAGATCGAATGTCTCTTAAACGGCAACTGGTTACAAAAAATGTAATATACCAAGCCACGGTAAAATCATCAGATAACGAAGAAAAATATACATAGGAGTCACTGAAGGACTCTGGAAACAAAGAAACTACCCACACAAAACATATTTCGCATACAATAAATACGCGAACAGTACTATGCTTTCCAAGTATATCTGGGAAGTTAAAAACAAAAGGTAAATCACACCAAAAATATCATGGAAAATAAGGAAAGAACATCAGCCTACAACAATCAATCCAAAAACTGCGAACTCTGCTTGCAGGGAAAAATAACTATAATTACCTTATCAGACCAAAACGAACTACTAAATAAATGATCAGAATTAATTTCAAAATGCAGACACAAAAACAAATTTTTACTACCTTACCTAAAAATCCAAAACTGAAAATAAAAATAAAATAAAAATAACCAAGCAACTACAAGTAAAATAAAACAGACTGTCGCCTCTGAGTGTTGACTTCAATGTTCACTTATATATTTACATTCGCACTCTCTCTCCTCTCTCTCTCTCTCTCTCTCTCTCTCTATATATATATATATATATATAAAGACATGTGTAATTAAAGAAAAAATTAATTATGGATACTGCACAAATGTTTTAAAATGTTTACAGTATATAGTTTAAATATATAGGTATTAACTTTAGTTTTTAATAACTTAGTTACCTCCCTTGACGTTTGTCATAGGTTTACATCGTAAAATTTAAAAATCGTACAGTATATAATATTAGGGTTTTTCACTTCACAGGTAAAAATTTAATTTTCAGATGAACACAATTTTGTTTTAGGAAAATGATGAACACAACATTTTTGCCGTAACCCCCACCCCCCAAAAAACCCTCAGATGACGACATTGTGCTAATGTCGAAAGTATTCAGAATAAAATGAACATGCATCAACATGGGAATGTTCTTTCTTCCTTTAATGAGAAACTTGTCTATAACTACTAGAGGGTCCTATTAAAAAATAAGTCGACAAAAGTTGTCTAAATTATTTGAAGAGACATGTCTTAATGAATAGATGCTACCAATATATACGCAATAGTTATATATATATATATATATATATATATATATATATATTATTCTCTCCACACACATATATATATATATATATATATATATAAAGTGAGAAAAAGAATGAAAGAAGAATAAATAGAATGAGAAGTAAGAGAAATGAAGAGAGTATAACTGAGAAAGAGATTGATAAAGGGAGATAAAGAGAGACAATTGAGAATGAGATTGAGAGAGAGAGAGAGAGAGAGAGAGAGAGAGAGAGAGAGAAAAGAGAAACAGAGTACGACTGGGAAAGAGATTGACAGAGAGAGAGAGAGAGAGAGAGAGAGCATGGTTGAAAAACAGATTGATAGAGAGATAGACTGAGAAGGAGATTGATAAAGTGAAATAGAAAAAGAGATTATGACAGAGAAAGAGAATAATAGAGAGAGTAAGATTGAGAAAGAGATTAATGGAGAGACAGAGAAAGAGAGAGAGAGAGAGAATATATGAACGAGAAAGAGATTTATAGAGAAAGAGAAAGAGAGTGAGTGAGTATGATTGAGAATGAGATTGATAGATAGAAAAAGAAACAGAGAACATGACAGAAAAAGAAAGATTAAAATTGAGAAAGAAATTGATAGAGGGAGAGAGAGAGAGTTTGAAAGAGAGAGTATGATTGAAAAAGAGATTGATAGAGTAAGAAACAC